AGAAAGCCAGTGTTTCCTTGCCTTAGAACTTGAGTTGCTTCGGATCTCTTTTCTTAACACAGGCTTTACTGAGGTACAATTTACATAGCGCAATTCTGTGGTTTTTAGTAAACAGAGTCGTGCAACCATCGCCGAAATCGTTTTAGAACATTATTATTGCAGGAAGTTTCCCTCAGTCTCCCTTTGTAATCCATTCCCGTTTTTACCCCCAGTGCCTGGAAACCCCTGATCTGCTTTCTGCCTCTGAAGATAGTTTCTGGAAAGGGAAGCTTATACTATGTGGTATTTCGTGTCTGGCTTCTTTCACTCAGTGTAACACTTCTGAGGTTCGTCCATATTGTTGCCGTGTAAGCAGGGTTTTTGTTTGTTGTTTAATGGTATCCCCCTCCTTGTATGAATGTATCATGTTCTGTTTAGACATTCACCAGTTGATGGACCTTTGAGCACTTTGGGAGTTCTTATGAATCATACTAGGAACAAATATTTATGTACAAGTCTTTGGGTGCACATGTTTTCAATTCTCTTGTAGATGTCTAAGAGTGGGATTGCAGTTTTGTAAGCTAAGTTTATGTCCAGCTTTTTTTTTTTAAATGCCAAAGTCAGTTCTCTTTGTATTAGGTTTAAATGAGAATGTTAGATCAAGAATCCAACTTAGTGAAATTAAAGTTGGTGATGAAAGTTCTATTATCTTAACTGAGAATTAACCATTATTTTGCTCACCTTTGAAACACTGAGCTAGATAGACACTGTACTAACCAGTCAGTATTCAGTATAGTTAACTAACCATGATTCTTTTCTTTGATGACTTGTAACTTATAAAAGATCATGATTATGAACATAACAGTCATTGTTCAGTGCTGTGTAAAGAGAATGTGGCTGAAGGTATAGAGACATTAGGATATGCTCTGAGATTTTTTTTTACTTTTTACTGAATTCCTGAAACTTGGTTTACATTTTTTTCTTCTAAAAAAAGAAAAAATATATATACATCAGTATCTAGTTATACAGCACAGATGGTAAACTTTGATGCTCATCGATTCATTCTGTTGATGAGGGCCCATGGAAGTCCAGAGGTTTGGGAGATGGGGGTTGGTTGTATAAAGCTGTATAGACTTATAAAGACTTTAGGGAGGTCTGAGTCTCTTGTGGTGACTAACATCAACAGAGATAAAGAGCATAATCATAAGACTAGTTCTCATAAGACTGGTCTCAAGGCAGATGGTGGTGGTGATGATCTAAAACTGAGAAATAAAGACACAGCTAAATTCAAGTTAAATTCTATGGTTCATTCAGATATGGATTACTCTATTTTGAGCTTATTTATATCCATATCGCCCTATTCAGACTCCAGAGTTTTAGAATGGCAATACTAGGCTGCTAAATTAACTTCTATTTTAGAAAAATCAGATACTTTATTTGGGGAGTTATCTGCTAAGATCAGACCAGGAAAGAACCAGGGCTCCTTGAGGAAGTGGCTGACTTCAGGGCTGAGGCAGAGCAACTAGATGATAAACCTGGAACATCTTGTGCAAAAAGTAAAAAGGGGCTCAAAGAATATTGGGACTATGTCAGAAGACACAGGCACCAGCTTGAAGACAAGTCAGTTCTGGGGGATCAAAATAAACGATACAGGAATGCTCTGTATAATAGGATAAAAATCCATATTAATATAAGCAAATGAATGTGTAACTAAAGGAGAAAGTAGAGTTCTATCTTACAGTAGAACACTAACAATAGTGTAGCAGGATAAGGGAGTTTAAAAAAAACAAAAACTATTTGGCTTTCACCATAATAAATTCAGGCAAGGATCATCAATCCATGCTGAACTTGGTGGGTAAAAGTGTGGTAAAGAACAGGATATTTACATAGTTTCAAAATGTCTCCTCATAAAACTTATCAATTGCTTATTATTTTATGTGTCAAATACAAATTAACTTCAGAATGGAGAAAGCTGGAAACCATTTTAACCGAGGAATAAAAGTTACCACCACCAGGAATAGGACAAAATTGACATCTTGTGCCTGCTGGTAAGATGCCTTGAGAACAGAGTATTATTTAAGAATCCTTACCAAAAATGAATCAACCTTGAGGAAAATTAATACACATCCAAAGTATCTGCTTTGTACTTTTAAAAATGTCAAGGTCAGAAAAGATGAGAGGGTTAAGGAATAATTTCAGGTGGGAGATCGCCTTCTGATGCAGTTCAGTTTCTTTAAGTGGTCATCCAGGTGGGACATTCATGACCCTCTGAGGCTACTCATTCCTTTTTTTTTTTAACTACTACTTTATTTAGATTCCTTTAGTTGTTAGCTAATGTCCTTTCTCTTTTCCAGGATCCCATCCAGGTAGTATGTCTTCTTTATGGTGAAATGTTAATGTATCAAATTATTTATTTTAGCAAACCAATATATTTTCTGTATTTAATTATAGATAGTCCATTCTGTTTCTGCAATTTATTTTTTTTAAATCTTTCTAAGTCTCAATCTGGTTTTTTTTTTTTTTTTTAATTGCAATATTAGGTCTATGTGCAAACGTACAGAGTACAGGTTAACAGCTGCGTGGTTAAGATTTATATAATCTATATGTTTTTCCTGAATGACATATGCCAAGGCAAGTGTGAATATGTGGTACAATGATACAACTCCATTTCTTATAAATTTTAAATTCACTTCAATTTACTTTCTCAGGAATTTTTAATTTCTTTTATTGATTACCGCCTCTATCTTTGGTAATCCTTTTCATGACAGTCAATAAATCAATAAATGAATGAACAAACAAATAAATGGCATTTTGTTTTGGGGGTATCCAAGTCTAATGGACTACATACACACACGTGCACATACTAGAAGGCAGGGCTGTCACCACTGACTCAGTGAGAAATGAAGGCCAGGAGAATCTGATGGTCAAAACTGTGGTCACTGGAATCTGAGTAACTCAACTTTGGATCCCAACTGTGCTCTCACTTGCAACCTAACTTTGGGCAGATGGTTCAATTGTCTTAAAATTCTGGAAAACGGGGACAAAATTCTATCTCATAGGACCGTTATACAGAATAATGAGAAAGCATATGAAGCGATTAGCAGAGTCCTAATATGTAACAGTAAGGCCTTATAAATAATATTGACTGCTATTAGTACAATACATGCTCAACTGAAAACTCTGTAATACAAATGAGCTGGTAACATTTAACCCTAGTGTATAGAGAACAGCAGAAATCAGGTTGTATCAACCCTTTATTTAGGAATGTGAATCACACTTTACTTCTTTCCTCACTTTTGCAGCCCTACTCCCAGCGGCTGCGATCAACATCTTCTCCCTGCTATTCAGAAATCTCACTCTGAATACTTACAGTACATGACCATGGTACCTGCACTTTTGAATTAAAGCGCCATGTCCTCACAAACACATTTCTCAAAGTCAAAACAAACACTGACGGAATGTGAAAGACAATGACAATAAAGAGACATACAGACTACACTGTAAAGAAAGATCTCTGAACAGTTTGGGGAAAACAGCAGAAGCAAAGAGGTTGCTTTGAGCAATAGAAATTGAGACTGATAAATCACTTTTCTTTCTGATGTAGGCTCACCACCCATAGCCAAAATGCTCTCAGCAAAACCATGGCCACTGTCTTCAAAGATGCTCTTTCCTCACCCAATACCCGTCTTCCTTCTTAGAAAGCTTTGTTTTCCGGGCGCCTGGGTGGCTCAGTTGGTTAAGCAACTGCCTTCGGCTCAGGTCATGATCCTGGAGTCCCTGGATCAAGTCCCGCAAGGGGCTCCCTGCTCAGCAGGGAGTCTGCTTCTCCCTCTGACCCTCCCCCCTCTCATGCTCTCTCTCTCATTCTCTCTCTCAAATAAATAAATAAAATCTTTAAAAAAAAAAAAAAAGAAAGAAAGCTTTGTTTCCCTTATAATTCTTACCAAGTTGGCACTAAACAAGGTTATTCATGATCAACTCTCCTTAACAGTTGTCGGTGTTGGCCCTTATAGAATTTTATGTTAGTCCAAAATAATTCATAGAGACCTACTATAAACATACTACTATCTATGCAAAGTGCAGTGGAGTTTATAAAGATGAGTAAGGTGATAGTTTCTGTCTTACACTTAGTTCAAATGGGTCAACAGATTAAGGCCCGAGGGTCAAATGTGGCCAAGCCCATTTGCTTACGTGTTGTCTCTGGCTACTTTTTATCCTCTAAAAGCAGAGTTGAATCGTTGCTGTAATGAAGATTACATGCTTTTCAAAGGTTAACATATTTACTATCTTGTCCCTTTACAGAAAAAGTTTGCCAAACCTCTGAAATGGGAGATGAAAGTATAACAAAAATACCTACCTTTATTAAATGCCAATTAAAAAAACTATAAAGAATTATAAGAGGGGCACCTGGATAGCACAGTTGGTTGGGCATTGGAGTCTTGATTTCAGCTCAGGTTGTGATCTCAGGGTACTGAAATTGAGCCCCGAGTCGGGCTCCACGCTCAGCATGAAGTCCGCTTGGAACTCTCTCTCCCTCTGCACCTCCTTCCTCGCGCGCATGCATGTGTTGTTTCTCTCTCTCAAATAAAAATAAATAAATCTTAAAAAAAAAAAAAAAGAATTGTAAGAGTTCAGGAGTTTGGCCCCTTTCAACAGGGCCATTTCGAGAAAATTTTTCGGAGCCAACAGAAATAGGACTCAAAGAATGAGAATACAGACAGATTCAAAACTTCTCGGCAACAGAAAGTGATATAAACACATCAAGCACAGAAAAAGCAAGATAGAGGATGGAGCTTCCAGCTCATGGGCATCAACTCTCTTACAATGATTTGAAGAGATCTTTTCATCTTTTCTGGTTTTCAAATCAGCATGTATGTTTTACACAAACCCCACCCCATGTGCCTCTAGGTCGTCTCCTAATTATGGGCTTGCTATCCAGCTGGTAACCCCATTCTAAAGGGGCAAACTCCCAGATACAAGAATGTGGTGACAAACACTGTAATTAATAGCATTCTCTGAAATTGGATATTTAATATTTATTCAGCACTGAAAGAATGAGATACTGTTTTTCTTCCCAAAAAAGTCACATGACTATGCCACACATTAATTTGTAAAGATTATTATTATGTTGCTCTTCTGTTTTCGTATGTGCTCTTTTCCCAAAGTTCCATGAGGCAAAAAGGCTAGATGGACTAGCAGGACTAAAAGTCTTAAAAGACAAGAAATCATTTTGCTTAAATCAGAAAGGATATATTACATTAGCAGGTCTAGTAAAGGTATTTCAAAAACCTTTTGAAAAGTAAGTTTGCATCAAAAATGTATTTATTGCAGAAAGACAATTTATGCTTACATGTATATGTAAAAATATCTTGGGCTCAACACTGAAAGCTGCTGTCATTATGACCTTTTGGCCAGTAATTCAGATGGCTACATATGCTATCCTGCTTTATGTACTTACAAGGTAGGAGAACTGTAAACTAACCATAGTTTTCAAATAAGATATATAATTAAAAGTGAGAGAAAATGACTGTCATATTTGAAGTATATGTAGTAATTGCTGAACTGTAAAAGAATGAGCCACAATATGTAAAACTTTAAGTATTGCAGCTTAGGCAAAAACAAACATGAGTGTGAGGAAAAAGAGAGGGAAAGGGGGGAGGGAGAGACAAACCAAAAAAGCCTTCTTGACTGAGACAATCCAAGTTCATAACTACTGTCCTGATGTGAAGAGATGATTTAAAAAAAAAAAAAAAAAGGACATTTCAAACTCAAAGACTAAAATGTTTTACTATTTCAACATAAAATTCTTCCAGAGCTCTCATAATATGTACATGATCCTGGAATAAAGTTCTCACTTCTTAGCTTATTAACAATGTGTACATTTGAAAATAAATGTATACAGTATTTCAAAACAAACCCTTCAAGACCGTATTTAAGCAATGACATCCAAAGAAACTGAATTCAGGCACCATGTAACATTTAAGATATATGGTATCTTGAAGATCAAATGTTCTCTTCCTTGTTACTCTGAAGTCTTCCTTATACAGAGGTTGCTTCTAAAGTAGTTTTCTTACAGAGCCAAACATCCTGATGTGCCGAGTCCAGTTTCATTTTCTCCAGTACTACAAAAATCAAAAACAGATAAACAAGTAGAAAGCAATTAACTTCAATTTCACAAAGAAAAATAAACAACAGAGTTTACAGTTTTAAGAAATGGCTTAGTTCTTGGCATGATATTTTTAGTGACTAAAAAGCTGTAGCTTATTCCACAGAGTGCACCCACTTCATTCCAGAACTGATCTGGAATCAAATCAAAGACAGTACTCCTGAAAGAACAAGGAAGCCCAGTCAGGAGTTGTGTGGGGGCCAACACATTAACAGTGTTTGATATTAAAATATCAAGGGGAAAGAAATCCATGTTTTTAGTACCTATTTTGTGCTAGGCACCCTCACAGTTACCTCAGATATTGCTTATAAAGAGATGTGTGACACTGCACCTCTCTTCATTATCTCTCAAAATTAGCATTCAGTGAAATTCAGAGAATGCTACCCATTACTTCTGAGAGCTAGATAATACAAAAATAATCTGCAATTAATGGTTGTCTTTAACATGTACAGATGCTGCCAGTCACCACTTTCTCAATACAGACAACTCTTTTTTTTTTTTTAAGATTTTATTTATTTATTTGACAGAGAGAGAGAGGAAGAGAGAGTGTGCACAAGCAGGGGGAGTGGCAGGCAGAGGGAGAGGGAGAAGCAGGTGCCCCACAGAGCAGGGGGAGCCCGATGTGGGGCTCGATCCCAGGACCCTGGGATCATGACCTGAGCCAAAGGCAGTCGCTTAACCGACTGAGCCACCCAGGCGCCCAGGATGGACAACTCTTGATTGTTTGGGGGCCATATCTGAGTCATCCATAACTCATTTGCCATATACATATATATATATATATATATATATATGCGGGCAGTATCTTGGAGGAAATAAAAATGCTGGACATGGGCAACATAATTTTGTTTCCGTGAACTTCACCTCATTATCACTCTAAGAAAAAAACATGAAGGGAAAAAAAAAAAAAACCTCACTGACAAATATTGGTGGGTGTGTGTGTACATTCACGAATATGTATAAAAATGTGAAAGATGTTGACTGATTTTAATCTGATAAAATTTAAAGTGGTGATTCTAGCAAGAATATGGTAAGATTCAGCCTTAATGCTTTTAAGAGGAATGTAATTTCTGATTTAAGAAGCTGTTTAAATATCTTCTAGGTGACAACATCAGAGGAAATAAAAATAAACTTCTCAAATGGTCCCTGGCACTTATATAAAATCAATATGTTTATTTGGTGCCTACTATGTGCCAGAACAGCTCAGGTTCTGTGAGAGTCCCCAGGATACTCGAGATAAAAAAAGCCTGAAGACAAAAACAGGGTCACCACTCATATACACACAAGCACATTCAAAAGTTGAGCAATGGGTAGGGAACTCATTCCAGACAACAAGCAAAGGTGGACTGTTTGTGGGGGCTTGAGGGAAAATATTCGGTATGAGAAATTGCCATGGGGGTAAATCAGCAGAGCTACAAAGAAGGCTCTTCTTGTAGGCTGGTGGAAGATGATTAAAGTTGAAAATGCGGGTTAGCGCCAAATTGTGGAGGGTCCTCACAGACATGCTAGGAAGTCTATAAATATCCTGGAAACGAGGAAAACCACACATGTGGATAAGTATGTTTGTATGTGTGGGAGAAACACTGCTATGGAACAGACGGTCTCTAATAGATCGCCTGAATACTTCTGAGCGTCTGTCTGCGGGGAAAAAAAATCAGTAATACTATGTAGCAGAGTCAGTCCCAAAATGTTCAACTCCCTGTACATCTGATGAATTTATATAAAAGGGTCTGATACAACAGAGGGGCAGGAAAACAACAGTATGACAACTAACCTTCCTAAAAGCAGTTAATGAAGCAAACGGACAAATCTTACGGTGGATTATACTTGTGACTGAAAACTTGCCCCACAGAAGACAAGGAAATTAAATTTCTACAGATAAAAAATAAACTGCAGGACATTTTAGCTGAAAATTATGGGGCATTCTGCTGACTGCTGCTATTACAGTAATTACTCTGTAGACTTTAAAACATTTGTAATGTCCCAAGTGCCTGTATGATGTTTTTAAACGTGGCTGGTTCTACCGGCTACTCGCACGGCAGTGTTGGCGGACTGCAGAGTGACCTGAGAGCACGCGGCTGTCAATAAAATTCAAGACTGGCTTGTGGCCAATGTGCAAAATAAATGTTATCCCACATTTATCATATTTATCTGGGATTAACTGTTCCCAATGACTCCTTTTTAGATCACACTCTCTTGGTTGTTTGCATAACTGATTTTTTTTTTCTTTTTTCTTTTGGGGGTGGATGAAACATTAAGGAGAGAAAAGCTAAAAGATCATTTTTTTCAATTTACAAGTATACTTTTTAAAACTCGCTACTCACACCAAAATCCACTCATCTCTAATAAATTAAAGCTTAAATATATATATCAAGAAAAACATGATTTAGAAACTACTGTCTATTTCTACAACCTAGGGCCTGGGTCTGAATCTGGACTTTTGTCCTCTATTAGCTCTGAGACCATGAGTTATTTAATCTCAGCCTTGGTTTTCTCTTCTGTAAAACAGGCCTGGTGATCTACCCACTTCACAGGGGTGAGGATTAAACAAGGTGATGCAGAGAAAGCTCTTTACGTAATTTCTGGCACATATAAGTGTTCAATAGGCTGCAATTATTACTATTATTATTGGTTTTTCATTGTTGTTAATTTTTATTCCTCCTAGGATAATTCAGATAAATTAGGAATAGATCTGGGACACAAAATGATACAAAATACTTGTGTATGATATACTGGTATTGTAATAGTTATTTATTCAAGCCACTGGTCTGGGAATCATCTACATCTTTAGAGAATTATTTACTAAATTAAAAAAAAAAAAGCTTGGTTTTTGAGAAAAATTTCTCTTTGGCTAAAGAATTCAATACTTTTTTGTTTTGTTCAATTAAATATTTTACACTGCTGTTTTTTATTCCTAATGGTAAAATAAGATCCATATAACATAAACTCAGAAATGACACTCTATTCTCTTCTCCTAGGGCATCTTTTGCATCTATGAGCTCTCAAAGTAGATCAGAGAGTAGAATAGTTACAGTGCAAACATACTACACGGGGTTGAGGTGTTAGGGTCAGCACATAAAGGTAAAACAGGAACATAAACAAAATTACTCGAAAAAAGCCATCAGAAGGCAACACATTCTATATAGTCATCTCTCCAAAAGTTCAGAACAGGAAGCTTTTCCCTTAATACTGATGCAAAAAAACTTGGTTTTTTGAGCAGCAGATGGGGCAGATGGATGGCCTGCACTTAGAAGCCTCGTTGTACAAAAGAACGAGAATCCTCAGTAACTGGAATCACATTCAGCATGGCAAGATGTCATGTCATGGGAGACACCTGGGATCTGAAACATCCCTGAAGGAGCTCCTCTCACATTTATTAGGACATATGCTGTTCAGGAAAAACATCAGGCAGAATAACCACATTGTTTGTCTCCTTTCATTGTTTTTTTTTTTTTTTTTTAATCTTTTTTAAATCACCACAAGTATATATAGGTGAATTCTCTTCAGTTAAAGGCACATAATATATGACTGCACATTCATGTGCCCCTCTGCTTGGACCTGTGCTTTTCCCCCTTGAACACCACGGGGGCTAATTAAGAATTCTTGCCAAATGTAAAGCAGTAACGTGTTCTCAGTATCTTGAGCTGGAACTTGGGTAAACTTTCTGAACACCATCTGTTCTTATGTTTTAACTCTCGGTCTACAAAAAATATATCTCTAACCCTGGTTAATCTACCAAGATTGGTTAATTAGATTAATATGTACTAAGATGAATGGAAACCACACCTCACTCTCCAGCCCTTTATCATCAATCAGTAGAGAGAGAGAAAGACAGGACAAAGCAGAAACAGGGAAGAAGCGGGCTGTTGCATGAGAGATTACCATCCAAAGGCTAGTTTTAGAGCAGTAAGTGACCCAAACTAAGTGACCTCTACCTTTCTGTGCCTAGAAAGCCCTTTAAAGATCATTTCAGTGGGGACAAGAGTTCTGATGATGCAATCTCAAAGACAATGACCTAAATAAAAGTGTTTTTCTGTGGAAAATTTGTATCACTAATAGGTGGGTGTTGCTAGGCAACGAATATTGCAGTGTTTAATCTCTACCCTTCCTAAGGAATGGTATGATCGAAGAAAATAAGTCTTTTCAGCATTGCAACGTAACAGTTGTATGTGGCAGTTCTGTAGTCTTCTTTTAGACTATACTTTCTTTTTTGCTGAAACAACTATAATTTTTGTTAACATGTATCAATCAGTTTACCTCCTTTTTTAGAAAATTGTCCTACAATCCACAGTGATTAATAGGAATGCACTAAAATTAGCCTAAATCAATTAGCAGTATATATCCTTATTGTAAATGTTATGAGTGACCAAAAAAACCAGATGTTGGTCATCTGGATTTGCACGTGCATGTCATTTATTCTAAGTATTACTTAGAAAATAAATAGTCACTACTTAGAAAATATACAGCATTTAGAAGTGTGAGTTTCAAAGAGAAAATAAACTTCAGAGATTAGTTAAGAAATAGGTATGCTTCAGGGTGTCTGGATGGCTCAGTCAGTTAATTGTCCAATTCTTGATTTTGACTCAGGTCATGATCTCAGGGTCCTGGGATCGAGCCCCGCATTGGGCCCTGTCCTCAGCACAGAGTCTGCTTGTCCCTCTCCCTCTGTCCCTCCTCCCATGCTCACTTGCTTGCTTGCTATCTCTAAAATAAAATAATAAAATCTTTAAAAAGAAAAATAGCTATGCTGCTATAATTTCATAATTTGAAAAGACTTAGATGAAGTTAAAACCGTACTTAGTATCTTTTGTAACCTTCAATGCCTAAACAAATTCCAATGACATTAAACATCCTTGGGTTACTCTGATTTTGATATTGTTTCAGTTGCACAAGAGTATAGTAACAGGTAATGAGTATAGGCAGAGGTGACATATTTAAGGAAACCTAAGATAGCAT